AACAGTGGTGTAAGTGGGTATCTGTGTTATGTTTCTGATCTTAGGGAAAAAGCTTTCAGTCTTTCTTCCTTTAGTATAATACTATCTATGGGTCTATTATATGTGGCTTTTATTATGTTGAGGTACATCCCTTCTATACTCAGTATTTTGCAGGCTCTTATTATGAAGGGATGATAAGTTTTATCAGATACCTTTTCTAGCATCAATTGAAATGATCAGACGATTTTCGTTCTCCATTCTATTGATATGATGAATCACATTGATTTGCATATGATGAACCATTCTTGCATTCCTGGGATAAATTTCAATTGGTCATGATGACTGACTTTTTTTTGTTGTTTTTTTTTATATGGACTCTTGCTTTTACTGCCTAGGCTGGAGGGCAATGGTACAATCTCGGCTCACTGCAACTTTTGCCTCCCGGGTTCAAGGATTCTCCTGCCCCAGCCTCCCGAGTACCTAGGATTAAAGGCATGCTCCACCTTGCCAGGCTAATTTTGTATTTTGGAAACGGGGGTTTCTCCATGTTGGTAAGGCTGGTCTCGAACTCCCAACCTCAGGTGACCTACCTGCCTCAGCCTCCCAAAGTGCTGGGATTACAGGTGTGAGCTACTGCGCCCAACCAACAAGTGACTTTTTAAATGTATTGTTGAATTAAGTTGGACAGTATTTTGTTGAGGGTTTTTGCTTCACTGCTTACCAGGGATATCAGCCTGTAATTTTCTTTTTGATGTGTCTTTGTTTCAGTATCAGAGTGATACTGGTCTCATAGAACGAGTTTGGAAACATTCCTTTCTTTATTTTTCAGAATACTTGGAGTAGAATTTGTATTACTTCTTTAAATGTTTTGTAAAATTCAGCCACAATGCCATTGGGTCTTGGGTTTTCTTTCCTTGGAGATTTTATATTACGTCTTTGATCTCATTATTTGTTATGAGCCATTCAGGTTTTAGATTTATGTATGATTCAGTCTTGCTAGGCTGTATGTGTTTAGAAATTTATACATTTCTTCTAAGTATTCTCATTGTCGTATACTTGCTTACAGTAATCTCTAATTATGCTTTGATTTCTGCAGTATTGGTTGTAGTGTCTCCTTTTTTATTTCAGATTTTATTTACTTGAGCAATCTCGCTTTTATTCTTAGTCTGACTAAAGGTTTGTGAATTTTGCTTAAGCTCTCAAAAACCAACTTTTATTTCATTTATCTTTTGTATTGTTTCCATTGTTCAATTTTATTTATGCTTTGATCATTATTATTATTATTATTATTATTTACTATCTTGGAGTTTTCTTTGCTCTTAATTTCCTAGTTCTTTGAGATGTATTGTTAGGTTATTTATTTTATGTTTTTCTCCTTTTTGATGTAGGTACTTACAGCTATAAATTTCCCTTTTAGTACTGCTTTGGCTGTATCCCACAGGCTTTTTGTATGTTATTTTCGTTATTTTTTTTCAAGACATTTTAAAATTTACCTCTTAATTGACCCACTGGTGACTCAGGAGCATATCATTTAATTATTATTTCCCCCAAAACAGAGTCTTGCTTTGTCACCCAGGCTGGAGTGCAATGGTGCAATTTGGGCTCGTGGCAACCTCCGCCTCCTGGGTTCAAGCAATTCTCCTGCCTCAGACTCCCGATAGTTGGTATTACAGGCACATGCCACCACATCCAGCTAACTTTTTGTATTTTTAGTAGAGGCAGGGCTTCACCTTGTTGGCCAGGCTGGTCTCGAACTCCTGACCTCAAGTAACCCTCTTGCGTAAGCCTCCCAAAGTGAAGGCATTACAGGTGTGAGCCACCACACCTGGCCCATATTGTTTAATTTTTATGTGTTTATATAGTTTCCCAAATTCTTCTTGTTGTTGATTTCTAATTTTATTCCATTGTGGTCAAAGAAGATACTTGATGTTATTTCAATTTTTCAGAATGTTTTAAGTCTTGTTTATGGACTAATATATGGCTTATCCTTGAGAATTATTTCTGTTCTTAATAGAAGAATACATATTCTGCAATCATTAAATGAATGTTCTGCAAATATCTATTAGGACCATTTGGTCTATGGTGCACATGAAGTTCAATATTTTCTTGCTGATTTTCTGTCTGGATGAACTGTCCAATTCTGAAAAATGGGATGTTGAAGTCTCCAGATATTATTGTATTTGGGTCTATCTCTCTCTTTAGCTCCAATAATATTTACTTTACATATCTGGGTGCTTCTGTGTTGGGTGCCCATATTTACAATTGTGATATCCTCTTGCTGAGTTTAGCCCTTTATTAATACATAATGACATTCTTTGGTGCCTTTTGTTTTGAGATATATTTTGTGTGATGTAAGTATAGCTACTCCTGTCCTTTTTAGGTTTCCGTTGACATGGAATATCTTTTTCCATCTGTTTATTTTCAGTCTATGTGTGTCTTTAGAGGTGAAATGTGCTCTCTGTAGGCAACAGATTATTAGATTTTTTTAAAAAAAATTTATTCTGCCACTCTGTGTCTTTGGATTGGATAATTTAATCAATTTACATTCAATATTATTATTGATAAGTAAGAACTTACTCCTGATATTTTGTTTTATGTTATCTGATTGTTTTGTGGCCTTCTTTTTCTTCTTTTTTTCCTCCCTTTCTTCTTGTTAATAAAATGTAATTTTTTTTTCTGGTGGTATGCTTTAATTTCTTGATTTTAATTTTTTTGTGTATCTGATACATGTTTGTAGATTTGAAGTTATAATAAGGCTTATAAATAATATCTTATAACCCATTACATTAAACTAATGGCAATGTAACCCTTATTCTATAATCAAGCAAACAAATGTGCAGAAAGAAAACTAATAAAAACTCTAACCTTTATCTTTTTCTCTTAGTCTTTTAACTTTTCATTTTTTGACATTTATATCTTATCATGCTATGTGTTGAAAAGCAATTGCAGTTATCATTTTTATTGTTACATTCCTTTGCCATTCTAAATAAGATATACTAGTTTACATACCACCATTACAGTATAATATTCAGTGTTTTTAAAATTCACTGGTACCAATGAATTTTGTACTTTCATTTGATTTCTTATTGTTCATTAACATCTTTTTCTTTCAGATTGAAGAACTCCCTTTAGAATTTCTTGGAGGACTGGTCTGGTGTTGAAATCCCTCAGCTTTGTTTCTCTAGGAAATTCTTTATTTCTCCTTCGTGTTTAAGGGTATACTATTATATAGGGTAAAAGTTTCTATGTAATATACTATTACATAGGGTAAAAGTTTCTTCTTCAGCACTTTGAATATGTCATGCCACTTCTCCTGAACCATAAAGATTCCACTAATAAGTCTCCTACAAAACATAGTGAAATTGCATTGTATGTTATTTGTTTCTTTTCTCTTGCTGCTTTTAGAATCCTCTCCTTACCCTTGACTTTTGGGAGTTTGATTATTAAATGTATTGAGGTCATCTTCTTTGTATTAAAATCTACTGTGTGTTATAAAACCTCTTGCACATGAGTATTGATATCTTTCTCTAGGTTTGGGAAGTTCTCTGGTATTACCCATTTGAATAAACCTTCTCTTCCAATCTGACTCTCTACTTCCTCTTTAAAGCCAATAATGCTTAGATTTGCACTTTTGAGGCTATTTTCCATACCTTCTAGGTATGCTTCATTCTTTTTCCTTTTGTCTCCTCTGTGTAGTTTCAAACAGCTCGTCTTCAAGCTTACTAATTTTTTCTTCTGTTTGATCAATTCTGCTCTTAAGAGACTCTGATGCTTTATTCAGTAAATCAATTGCATTGTTTAACCACAGAACGTCTGCTTGATCCTTTCTAATTATTTCACTATCTTTGTTAAATTTATCCAGTAGGATTCTGAACTCTTTTTATTATCTTGAATTTCTTTCAGTTTCCTGAAAACAGCTATTTCTAGTTCTCTGTTTACAAAGTCACATATGTCTTGTCTTTCAGCGATTGGTCCCTGGTGCCTTGTATAGTTTGTTTGATGAGGTCATGTTTTCTTATATGGTCTTGAGGCTTACAGATGTTTGTTTGGTGTCTGGATATTGAAGAGTTAGGTATTTATTGTTCTTCACAGTTTGGGTTTATTTGTACCTCTCCTTCTTGGGAAAGCTTTCCAGGTATTCAGAGTGACTTGGGGTCCATGATATACATTTTTGGTCACTGCAGCTGTATCTGCTTAGAGGCTATTGCAAGTCCAGTTATGCTGTGGTTCTGGCACTTCATGATTAAAACACCAAAAGCATTGGCAACAAAAACCAAAATAGATAAATGGGATAATATTAAACTTAAAAGCTTCTACACAGCAAACAAAACTATCATTAGAGTAAACCAGCAACCAACAGAATGGGAAAAAATTTTCACAATCTACCCATCAGACAAAGGGCTAATAACCAGAATCTACAAATAACTAAAGCAGATTTACAAGGAAAAAAAAAAAAAAAAACTAAACAAACCCATTCAAAAGTGGGTGAAGGATATGAACAGGCAATTCTCAAAAGAAGATATTTATGAGGTCAACAAACCTATGAAAAATTCTCATCATCATTGGTCATTAGAGAAATGTGAATCAAAACCACATTGAGATACCATCTCACGACAGTTAGAATGGTGATCATTAAAAAATCTGGAGGCAACAGATGCTGGAGAGGATGTGGAGAAATATGAACACTTTTACACCGTTATTGGGAGTGTAAATTAGTTCAAACACTGTGGAAGACAGTGTGGTGATTTCTCAAGGATGTAGAAATAGAAATTCCATTTGACCCAGCAATCCCATTAATAGGTATATACTCAAAGGATTATAGATCATTCTATCTTAAAGACACATGCACACATATGTTCACTGTGGCACTGTTTACAATAGCAAAGACCTAGAAGCAATGCAAATGCCCATCGATGATAGACTGGAGAAAAAAAATTTGTGGCACATATACACCATGGAATAGTATACAGCCATAAAGAATGATGAGTTTGTGTCCTTTGTAGCAGCATGGATGAACCTAGAAACCATCATTCACAGCAAACTGACACAAGAACAGAAGACCAAACACCATGTATTTTCACTCCTAGGCGGGTGATGAAAGATGAGAACACTTGGGCACAGGGAAGGGAACAACACTCACAGGGCTAGGTGGGGGTGTAGAGGGGAGGGGAGAGGGGACATGAGGAGGATGTTGAGGGATAACTGCAAATCACCATGGCATGTATGCACCTATACAAAAATCCTGCAGGTTGCAGGATGTGCACATGTACTCCAGAGCCGAAATACAATATAAATAAATGAATACATATATAGATACATACATACATACTCCCTCTGTGAGTACCAACTGAGTTCTTCTCAGTGTAGCTTTCTCTTGACACATGGTGGCACTGAGTTCCAATGTATACCATGAGGCCACTGCTGGGAGCTGTGGGAGGGGTGGTGTTGGTCATTCAAGAATGCTTTCCCTACCTCCTTCAGTACCTGTTTCAGTGATACAAAGTTAAAACCAGGTACTGTGATTGCTCACTTGATTTTTTTTTTTTAATGAAGGTGCTTTTTTATGGAGACAGTAGTTAAGTTAGGCGTTCCTGAAGGGAGGGTAATCAATGAAGTCTTCTCTTCAGCCATATTATCCTGTTATTCTCATTCGTGTGTTGGCACGATCTGGGACTTGATGCACATCAATCACTTAATGAAGCTCTTTCTCTGCACACTAGATAGTCTTAGCTTTTGCCAGTGGAAAATTTTGCCTCTTGTTATTTTAAATTGTATTTCCTTTATCGATAGGGAAGTTCATAATTTTTCCTGTGTTTATTAGTTATGTGTGTTTCTGTAGATTATTTATATCTTCTGCTCACTGCTTACATGAGACTATTTATCTTACTATTGGAAACTGAGTGTATTAGACCTTTGCCTGTTAAATATGTGATAATTTTCTCCAAGGGAATTTATTAATTTTGTTTTAGTTATTGTTTACTAAACAAGATTTTATTTTAAAGGTATTTGATCTGCCACTCTTCTTTATGACTTGCAGGCTGGGAGTCTAACTTAGGTGGACCACTTCAAGATCCACATTATTCCCTCTTACTTTCTTGTGGTACCTGTGCGTATTTGTGAATGTAACACTTAGGTCTTTAATCCATGTACAGGCTTTAACATTTATAATATGAGATAGGGGTTAAATTTTGTTCATAACAGATAACCAATATTCACAATAGTTATTCAATGGTTCATTTCATTAACCAGGTGTCTCAGAGGGATTTCACAGGACAGGGAAGCGTTGAATGTGAGGATGATGGATCCAGGTGGGTGATTGGGATCGAGTGCACAGTGACAGCAATGGGAAAGTGATGAATGCCGGTCAGCACAGCTATCCTGAAGCCAGGAAACACACACCTTATCATTATTACATCTGTGAAGTAGCCAACGGTTGAATTTTTTATTTAACAGTGGAAGAAATGGGACTTTGGAAAGGTGAAGACTTATGCCTGGTCTTACAGCTACTGCAAAATCTTTCATTCAAACTCAATTTTTCTGGTACCAGGTGACTAATAAGTGGTCTTTGCTTAATGTCAGCCTGGTTCTTTAACTTGGAACAGTCTCGTGCAGCCATGTTGCCATCTGGGATCACCACTGTCATTGCTGGTTTATTATTTTTAAATTATTATTACTTTTCCTGTTTTGGGCCTTTAGCTTCCTAAAGCTATGGGTGTTAGGTTGTATCTGTCTAATAACTTGACATCTGCCTTCTAAGTATTTATGGGAAAAGAGAGGGGGAGAAAGAGTCTTGTGGTCTATCTCATTGAAGGTTTCCCAGTCTATCTTCCTTTGAGATTTGTACTTTGACAACTATAGCAGACTTTCCTTGGTACATTGTTGTTAGACTTATCCAGATAGGTTTTTTTTGCATGCAGTTATGTGGAATGCTTACTAGGGCCCAAGTACTTTAGCTAGGACTTTTATTGTTGAGCAATCGTATAATTTGACAGGCGTTTGGGTGGGGTCGAGAGCATGAAGGGATGAGATGTTGGTTAGCATGAAGGGATGAGATGTTGGTTCCCATGCCTCAGATCCCTCTTTTCCAGTAGATTAAACATTGGACTACTGGTATCCAGAGATATAACCCATAACAACCCGGAGGATCTAAAGATAATGTATTTTGCCTGCAGTAAACAGCAGCAAGGTATGCAGCAATGAAGAGGACAGGTAAGCCACTATCTTTACCTGAGGAACAGGTGCCATTCCTATCATGAAGGAGCCCAGCCAACATCTTCCTCCATGTGAGTCACCAGTAACACACAGACAAACCAGAGTTCTGCCCAAAACTATGGTGAGGAAATTCCAGTGTCAAATACATGGCACATCCCTGGAATAGGCCTCTGGCAGACACAGGCAGTGAGTAGAAACCAACCGGAAATCCTCATTTGGAAAGTGCTACTCACATGACTTATCAATCACTTTTACTGCTTATGGTAAGCCTCCATCTGGGATAGTATGTAGCTACTGGATTTTAAAAATTAATAATCACTTTTGAATATTCAGATGCTGAGGAAATTTGTGTGAGGAGAAATGTGGGACCGTCTCCTCACACTCTTCTGTCGTGTATGGGGAACACATCAAATATCCAGCTCTCTGCCATAAAATATTCTGGCTCTACTGTGGAACCACCAGTAGAGGCAACAGCAAGTGACCAGGATAAAGTGGGAACAGGCCCATAGGCTCTGGAAGCAGTTCAGAGCCAACTGCGTGTACAAGATCAGTCCTGCTAAGAAGCAAAGGGTCTGTGGTCACAACCACACCAAACAGCTCACAGTGCCAGCCAATGTTGTAGCATCTTTAAAGAGACTTTTGGTGGCAGGACACAACACATTGGCACTGAGGTAGATGAAAGGCAGAACTCTTGTTATTTACAGCTCCGCGTGAGAAAAGTCTTCCAGGCAGGGTTGCACAGAGTTTTGCACCTGTTAACAAGGGAACTGGAAGTTGGAGGTTTACAGCGTTAGGAGAGCACGCTCTATGTATGGAAACTGGAGAAGAGTTTGCTACAGTTCCCTGGCTACCTGTGGGTTAGCTAATTTGAATAATTGTGTAGACTTTTGGGCATAAGATTTGTCTTTGGCTGCCTATTCCCTGGCCCTGGGTTGATTAGGGTGAGCATATGGTGGCTGTGAGTATGACAGCCTAATAAAGGAGTAGCTTAGGGTGTGGATTTAATCAGCTGGTCAAGAAAGGGAACTGACTTTTTTTTTTTTTCAGTTTTTAGGCAGCGACTCAAAACTGGCTTAAGAGAATATTTTAAAAATTATTTTATTGAGAAATAATTAACATATAAAAAGCTGTAGAAATTTAATGGGACACATATCAATGAGTGTGGAGATAAGTATACACCTGTAAAACTATCACTACCATGAAGGCCATAAGCATATCCATCATCTCCAAAATTTCCTTCTACCTCATTAAGATAACATTTACATATAAGTGTTATATTTATATTTCACTTGTCCTTCCAAGCCATGTTTGAATCTCTAAAATAGTATATAATATATATATTTTATAATATATAAATTATGTGGCCCATGGGGTCACATCCAACTGAATAATTCAATTCACCAGAAATTTTCTTCTCAGGGGCTCCAAAAGGAACTAACTGTGGGACTATTTTTTCCATTATATATATACTATTTTAGAGATTCAAATGTGGCTTGGAAGGACAAGTGAAAAGCAATTTTAAGACCTATTCTAGTAGATTACAGCATATACACACAAAGAATTACAAGACTACAATAAATGTTATTATTCCATTGGGGGAAGAAGAATATCTGGCAGATAATTCTATCTAAGTATTTCAGGTAGAAAGAAAAATTGATTGGTAAAAATTAGTAGATAGATTTGTTACTTGGAATTCAAGATTTAATGCAATGGCTCAAGTACCTGAAACTCACTTTAACAATCTGCCAGATTGGCTCAGTAAATCTTGATTTCAGGGGTGGCCTCTGGTTAATGAGATTGAAATTCCAACATCTCCCTCTTTAATGTAATGCAATTGACCCAAGGTTTAATGAGATAGGAACATTGGAATTAATCTATTATCCACAGCTGGCCCAGTCATTCTTTAGTCACATGCCCTGAGAGATAGAGGCTGAAAAACCCCACCTTTTACCAAAGCATTGAAGAAACACTTTGATGACAGGGCCACTGGTATTCTGCAAATGTTCTGTAGTGTCTGACCTCTGTAAAATGCAGATGACATGGGAGATAGAACATTGGAATTAAGTTTTTGATCTCAATGGGAACAATGAGAATGTTTATAGGTAGAGGCCAGGTGGTAGCTTTTTAAAAACTCAGACACATAAGGAAAACAATTAGAGCCACAAACCATATAGAGAGGGTTTTTGTTGTTGTTGTTGTTTTTATCTTGTGATACAGCAAGCCAAGTCATTTGTTTGTTGGAGTTTTAGAAACGAATGAGGTCACAAAAGTAATATGGTGCCTACTAATATTTATAAGAAAAATTTTAGATCTAGAAGGCAGAAACCTGACTTGAGTCATCATTGTGGAGATTCTTGACCCCTTAACCCATTCCAAAAATAAAGCCAGTTTATAAACTGGAGCGTCTTGATTGAAGGGAAGTCAGAATCCAGCCAGAAAGAACTTTGCAATGTGGTGACAGATATATATTTTCAATTTTCTTTCACACCTTCTCAGGAGGAAAGAAAGTACCAAATCTGCAGAGAATTTATCTTCTGGCTTTGAACTGTTCCTGGGAAGTAACAATGAAGTGGAGGAACTTAGGATGATCAGGTGATAAATGGAGTCTTGGCCCCGTTCAACTTTTGTGAAACCTCAGACTCATTCTACAGTTATTTTTCACATTCCCAAATTTATAGAGGGTTAGATATAAGTTGTGACTATCAATATTCCCAAATTGTTTCTCTGATCCAGGAAGAAAGGACATGATGGCAGGAAAGGCCAAAATACAAGCCACGAGAATTGCACCTGCCTAACCCTGCCTGATAGAAAACAAAACAAAACAAAATATCACATCCCTAGAGAAATTACAAAGATTAGTGCCACCACCAATGACTTGAAATATGCAA